GTAATTTTTTTCAACATTAATTGAATACAAGGATATATTAAATTCTGAATATTTTTTTCTCACAAAACAGCTGCAAAAATGTTATCTCCTGTACAAGTTATTTCTCCATTCTTTTCAGCAGAATTCTTAGCCATAAAAACAGGCTTATCATTTGGAGTATCCCTAAAGTAACCAATATGAAAACCTGAGGAGTCATCTCCTTTTATTACTGTTTGAAACTCTGGAATATCATAATAATATCTCCAGTGCAACAAATACTGTTCTGAAGATGGTTCTATAATATCAGAAAACTTTCCAGCTAGAACATCATAGGGACCAACTAATTTTAAACTCATATCTTTGAGGGCATCAGATGGATCATCATTGTTTAAATCCTTACAATACTCCCAAAACTGGTAAAAATCAGCAGGCATTTCAACAAGAAATTTTGATTTAATAAATTCTCCCTTATCAAAGGTTTTTGGAGTTCTTTTAAAATTTCCTTGTGAAGCTTGAACTTCCTTCTCATCTAATTGCTTATCTTCATCTTTTTCAATTGATGTATTAGAGACAGGCTGATCTTCAATTTGGTTTTCATCTTCAGAGTCAGAAATGTCATTGCAGGAGATCTGTTGAATACTGGTGTCCTGATGTGCTTTCTGCTTATCTAAGGTTTTTGGGGTCTTTTTTGAATTTTCTTGTATAAATTGAACTTTCTTCTTACTCAGTTGGTTATTTTCATCATTTTGATTTAATTCATTACGAAGAAATTAAAGTTAATTGCTTTTTATTCCTAATTGCTGAATAAAAAATATTCTTATTAATTGCCAAATAAAAAATTTATTATCAAATGCAATTGAACTTGAATGAAAACAGTGTTTGCAACAGTTAAAATTATTTTTCCCAATAATCTATATTTCCATATTTAATAGCATTAAACACTTATCTTTGCAGAAATTATTAACAACCATGACAAGGTAGTAATAAAGAAATATAGTTAATTTCTAAATGTATTATAACAACATTAATAAATACTAATGGAAAATGGAAAGTATTCTTGCAATAAGAGTAAGTTATTCAGTAAATACTTATGAATATACCTGGGTGTTGTGCCTTTAATGGGTTTTCTCATTGCCTTTTGCATTATCAATCCAGTAATACATGAGAATACTAACCATATGAATACAAAACGCCACCATCTGTTTTTAAGGCATAAAACCATTGGTATAATCCACAGTGCTATTAATGTGATCAACTGAAACTACTGTTTTATATATTCAGTTAAACCTAGTTACAATTTACTAACAGAATATGACCTGTAATGTCTTTTCTTCCATTCGATTAATAATACTTGAGCTGCTACTAAAGTAAATATTAATATCATTACCATTTCAGCGTGCATTTTATCGTGCCCTTCATGTTTTTCATGCATTTTTTGATGCTCTACCCTAAGAAGGAAGAAACTTAACACAAAAGCTTTTTTAGAAATATTGTTACTCTTACCTCCATTTCTCTTCTTGTGATAGCTCATCAAAGGTCTGGAAAACAATACAAATAAATAAAATCAGTATTAAGATTCAAACAACCCAAAACATCTACTTACTCGATTTCCAAAATCGACAGGCTTATGAAGATCCATTATGTTATTAAAATCTGAAGAAAAAACCTAACACGAATTACGTAAGTTTTTTGAATTAATCTCGAGTCTTTTCCGACATCACGACTGCATTATTTAGTAAAGAAACACTGAATATTCTAATTCAAAAAACGCCTTTAACAGCTCGCTTTATTTATAGGTTAGGTTAAGAATCTAAGGATAAAAGTCATTATAAGTCAAGTGTCAAACGTACCATAAGTGGAACGAATATTCACTTTAAACGAACACAGATGTCGCTAAAGTAGTCTAAATTAAGATTAATCAAATTATATAAAAAAATTCGTTTTCAATGAATCATTTTTTTAAAAAAATAACAATTTGAACGCTAATTTAGGATTTCTTTTAGACGTTTATATAGACCATATTTTTTAAGAATACCTTCATTAAAAAAAATACTTATTTTATCTAAAATTATTGTATTAATTGCAGGATAACATTCAATCTTTTATTAAATTANCAATAGGAAACCAAATAAAAAAAAATTAAAACTACATTATATTAAGAATAAACGTTTTTAAAATAAAAATTTAAATAATACTTAATTTACAGCCCTTTCTTCTATCCTTCATGTGAGCTTCAGCAATTTCTGCAAAAGCATCTCGTTGCAAAAGGCGATATGACGATCCTAAAAATCTGGCAGCCACTGAATCGAACTCTTCTGTTCCTGAGTAAATGAGGTCCCACCCAAGCTCAATTCCTGTCCCAAAATCACACTCATCTAAAGCAATACTAGCCCAACGAAATACTTCTTCTAACTGTGTTTTTATTATTAATTTTTTCTCATTTGGTGCTACTTTATATTCTTGTAGAAGAGAAATTAACTTTTTGGAAGAAACTGATAATTCTCTATAACCTTGTTGGGTCCTGAAAACATTTTAAAAATTATACTTGAAACTCAGTTGAAGATAAAGTTGAACAAAAATAACAGAAAAACAACATTTAATTTAAAAAATATCAAAAATTACGTCTTTTATTTTCACTATATTAATCTGTTAGTTCCATCTGAAAGAAGTGCAGTATTGAAAAGTGTTTCAAAATGATTTACATACTTTCTATCATATGGCACCACAAGTCCAGCTTTGTTTAAACAGCGAGTCACAATTTTGTTGTTCCTCTTCTTAATTTCAGGTGTTATAGCAGACAAACTTAAATCTAATTCTTCTGCTTTAGATTTCAATGAAGATTGAATTTTCATTAAATTCATTTTTTTGAATGGATTCACTTTTTTCATAATTTCTTCTAGGTACAGGCTGTAATTTTTTTCAACATTAATTGAATACAAGGATATATTAAATTCTGAATATTTTTTTCTCACAAAACAGCTGCAAAAATGTTATCTCCTGTACAAGTTATTTCTCCATTCTTTTCAGCAGAATTCTTAGCCATAAAAACAGGCTTATCATTTGGAGTATCCCTAAAGTAACCAATATGAAAACCTGAGGAGTCATCTCCTTTTATTACTGTTTGAAACTCTGGAATATCATAATAATATCTCCAGTGCAACAAATACTGTTCTGAAGATGGTTCTATAATATCAGAAAACTTTCCAGCTAGAACATCATAGGGACCAACTAATTTTAAACTCATATCTTTGAGGGCATCAGATGGATCATCATTGTTTAAATCCTTACAATACTCCCAAAACTGGTAAAAATCAGCAGGCATTTCAACAAGAAATTTTGATTTAATAAATTCTCCCTTATCAAAGGTTTTTGGAGTTCTTTTAAAATTTCCTTGTGAAGCTTGAACTTCCTTCTCATCTAATTGCTTATCTTCATCTTTTTCAATTGATGTATTAGAGACAGGCTGATCTTCAATTTGGTTTTCATCTTCAGAGTCAGAAATGTCATTGCAGGAGATCTGTTGAATACTGGTGTCCTGATGTGCTTTCTGCTTATCTAAGGTTTTTGGGGTCTTTTTTGAATTTTCTTGTATAAATTGAACTTTCTTCTTACTCAGTTGGTTATTTTCATCATTTTGATTTAATTCATTACGAAGAAATTGTTCCTCAGTTTGTTTTTCATCTTCAGAATCAGAAATATCATTTCTTGGAGTCTTCTCAGCTTTCTTACTGAGTTCCTGAGTTTTTTGTTTTTTGTTCGTTAATCTGGTTAATTTCGTGGTCTTAAATAAGAAAACATGAGCATTTTAAAATAAACATTAAAATGTAATTTTACATGAAGCCTTTTGTTGGGGTGCTTGTATTTTTCATGGTGAGCTGAATTTTTTTGGTAACATTTAGCTCCATACTTGCAAGGTATCCGAGGATCATTATTATATACAGAATAATTATCAGTATCAGCCATTTTTCGTTGATATATTAATATTAGTGTACTAAAAACGTAGAATTTTATTTCACTTTATTACATTTTTTGTTGTTCTTACTTAGGTTATGGTCATGTGTAATGTTTAACGGTCATACAAATTTGCTGACCATAGATGGCAATTGGCTAATGATAAAAATGACATTGTTTTAACATAACCTATATATTTTTAATTTTGAATACTTATTAAAAAAATATATATAGTGTTTTCACTCAATATTAAGTGTTTAATACTAATACATTTACATTTGATAATGGATTCCTATTTAAAAAGAAAACCTAAGAAAAATGGTAATATAGATATAAGGTACATGTTCAGTTTGTTAACATATTTTTTATTTTTAGAAGACAATTTATCTCCTAAAAAATCCAAAAAAGAAGTATGTCCTCATGGAGTTAGATGTTATAGAAGAAATCCACATCATTTTAAGGAATATGATCATCCTCATTGTAAAAAAAGTTTTTTTACATGTATCTATACATTAATTGATTTATTTTTTTAGTTGATTTATTAATTGGAAAAGGTGATTCAGTTAATATTCCTGATCACTTTCCACAAAGCAAAGATGTTTATATTGATCAATTAAAAATTTTAAACTCTCTCACTCATAATACACAGTCAGAAAAGCAAGGAATACAACCATCAAGTTCTGGTACGGTTCTTTCAAATGATTCACAGTTACAGTCTAGTAGCTCAAATGTGGTAGACAGAGTTAGATTATCATCAAAAAATAAGACAACAACATTTATAATGGAAAACAAAAAAAATGTTTCAAAACCTGATGACTCTAAAACAATGGCTCAGAAAATCAAAGAAAATGAGCCTTATTGCTTATTTTTTTCTAAAATACCTGATGAACCTTTGACTTGTAATCAACAGAATAGTATAACATTTAAAGGTATGTATCAATTAATTGGTACTCACATTTTCCATTATCTAATTACAATTTGTTTTTAATGTCTTTTAAAGATTTGTTATGTCCCAGCTTAGGAGAGCTGAAGTGTTCCCTTCAAATTAATTTTATGATTGATATTGCTTGGCTTATTGAACAATATATAGCACAGGGTGTAGGGTGAGTTATCTTGTCTGTATGCTAATAAAATTTTCATTCTTACTTTATTTGTAGTAAGAAACCATTAACTATCATTTATGGTGATGATTGGCCTGATATGGAAAAATATATTCAAATGATGTTGCCCAATGTGACCTCACATTTTATGAAAATGAAAGATCCCTTTGGCATTCATCATTCGTAAGTAAAGAAGCGAATTTATCTATAATGATTCTTTTTAATCCTTTATATTCAATTTGATTCATTCAGCATTGGGTTATAGAATGAAGAAATTAATATTAACATTTTTTTTGTCTTTTTAGAAAGATAGGTATTTATGTCTACACAGATCATTCTGTTAGGGTTGTGGTATCAACAGCAAATTTGTACTTTGAGGATTGGAATCATTATAATCAAGGGTAATTTTACCTAGGAGGAACTGGAATTAAACAAAAGTGGTAGTAATAAACTCAAGTCAACAATAAATTTGCATAAAATGACATACAGACACATTTCTAAAAGCTACAAATATTTCAAAACTTCCTCCAGATCCTCCTTAAAATTCATGTAGATCAAATTATGTGAACTACTTTTCTTTTTTAGTCTATGGGTAAGTCCTAAATGCCCAGTTTTGCCAGATAGTTGCAAAGAGACAGATGGTGTTGGAGTAACAGCTTTTAAAACTAATTTTCTTTTATACCTGAAAAGTTACAATTTGCCAATATTAAAAGACTGGATTGAATATGTAAAACGAGCCGATTTCAGTGCAGTTAGGTAATTTTATTTTAATAACAGATTTACTTTAAATTTATTCATCTTATAAGCAAATATCCTTATTATAGGACTATGTTTGTGTATTCAGCTCCTGGCAAGTCTTACATGGCAAACACCTCAAGTCATCTCCAACGGGTTGGGGATTTACTTTCACGCCATGTAACTTTACCTGTCAAGACTACCCCTGAAAGTGAAGGTCCCCTTTCTTGGGGAATAATAGCTCAGGCATCTAGTATTGGGTCTTTAGGTAAAACACCCGGCGAATGGCTCAGAAAGTTCTTTTTGGGAAGTCTTTCAAGCCATAAACAAAACAGTTTTACTGAAAATTCGAATGCCACATTAAACGTTATTTACCCAACTGTAGAAAACGTTTTAAAAAGTTTTTATGGCCCTTCAGGGGGTGGTTGCTTGCCATATTCGAAAAATACGAATGAAAAGCAAAAGTGGTTGCAAGATTATTTACAGTAAGCACATTTTCACATTTGCTTATCCAGCTATGGATTTTATGAAAAAGTTTTTTATTTTAGTCAATGGAAAGCTGATGAGACCCATCGATCACGTATTATGCCACATATAAAGACTTACTGCAGAGTCTCGCCTTGTTTATCAAAGTTGGCATGGTTTCTGTTAACCAGTGCTAATTTATCCAAGTCGGCTTGGGGAGGAAATATCCAGAGGGATAAATCAGTTTATGTCAGATCATACGAAGCAGGTGTTTTATTTTTACCGAAATTTTTTGATGAAGAGTTTTTTAATATAAAAGAAAACAGTGATAATTCAAATTTGTTCCCGATTATGTACGATTTGCCACTTGTTCCGTATCAATCCAGCGATTATCCATGGTGTAATTAGAATATACATTATGTTATTATTAAACTTGTTTTGTAAAAATTTTTGAGAAATAAATTACTTTTTTAAATCCNGGCTTATCATTTGGAGTATCCCTAAAGTAACCAATATGAAAACCTGAGGAGTCATCTCCTTTTATTACTGTTTGAAACTCTGGAATATCATAATAATATCTCCAGTGCAACAAATACTGTTCTGAAGATGGTTCTATAATATCAGAAAACTTTCCAGCTAGAACATCATAGGGACCAACTAATTTTAAACTCATATCTTTGAGGGCATCAGATGGATCATCATTGTTTAAATCCTTACAATACTCCCAAAACTGGTAAAAATCAGCAGGCATTTCAACAAGAAATTTTGATTTAATAAATTCTCCCTTATCAAAGGTTTTTGGAGTTCTTTTAAAATTTCCTTGTGAAGCTTGAACTTCCTTCTCATCTAATTGCTTATCTTCATCTTTTTCAATTGATGTATTAGAGACAGGCTGATCTTCAATTTGGTTTTCATCTTCAGAGTCAGAAATGTCATTGCAGGAGATCTGTTGAATACTGGTGTCCTGATGTGCTTTCTGCTTATCTAAGGTTTTTGGGGTCTTTTTTGAATTTTCTTGTATAAATTGAACTTTCTTCTTACTCAGTTGGTTATTTTCATCATTTTGATTTAATTCATTACGAAGAAATTGTTCCTCAGTTTGTTTTTCATCTTCAGAATCAGAAATATCATTTCTTGGAGTCTTCTCAGCTTTCTTACTGAGTTCCTGAGTTTTTTGTTTTTTGTTCGTTAATCTGGTTAATTTCGTGGTCTTAAATAAGAAAACATGAGCATTTTAAAATAAACATTAAAATGTAATTTTACATGAAGCCTTTTGTTGGGGTGCTTGTATTTTTCATGGTGAGCTGAATTTTTTTGGTAACATTTAGCTCCATACTTGCAAGGTATCCGAGGATCATTATTATATACAGAATAATTATCAGTATCAGCCATTTTTCGTTGATATATTAATATTAGTGTACTAAAAACGTAGAATTTTATTTCACTTTATTACATTTTTTGTTGTTCTTACTTAGGTTATGGTCATGTGTAATGTTTAACGGTCATACAAATTTGCTGACCATAGATGGCAATTGGCTAATGATAAAAATGACATTGTTTTAACATAACCTATATATTTTTAATTTTGAATACTTATTAAAAAAATATATATAATGAAGTGCAAATATATATGTATCTTATTAATATGTAGCAAGTATTGCATTGTTCTAGGTGCAGTATTTTCATATTTACAAGTTCTGTGATTTTGATAAAGTTAATGAGCTTTTTTCACGTTCTTGTGTTAGAAATAGCGGCAAAAGTTGATAGATATAACATTTTCTTAAACCGAGTTCCAATATGGATCCATTAGTTATATGGATCATTGTTTTAACAATTATCATTTTTTTTCAAATATGTTTTGATATTAGTTATTTTTTACGTACTGTTTGGGTGACATTTATTGCTATGTGTTTTAAGAAAACTATTGATATTTCGGATGAAACAACCATCACAGGTAGGTTAAAAGATATAGTACTAATATTAAAATAAGTATGAAAAAAAAGATGCCGGTGATATAGTTGCATTATTAGTAAAATGGTTTTATCATAGCTAAGAAAATATCCACTGTTTTTAATGTGCATTCACGTACGTATTTGTAGTCTTTGTTTTTATTGTTTTATTAAATACCAATCAATTTTTAATATGATAGTTGCAAATATACGCGATCAAGAAAAACTAGAAATATTTTTCCACTGTAAATCTTATTTTTCGCGTTTTTGGTTGAACACAATAAATATTTGTTATTTAATCGAATGGAAATATTTGAATTAGTGAATATTTAAAATCGTAGTTAACTAATGGTCCTTGTTTTGTAGTATCCGTTCTTTTGCATAATAACACTTTTAAATAATGGACTTTTACGTAATTTATTGCAAATTGTCTTCATTACAATGCATCAACGTAATACAAAATAACAAATCAAAAGAAAAAAGTTATTAGAGTTGTTTTGATGATAAATAAGATCTTAACTACTAAACCACTTTTAAAAATATTTCTGCTTTCTGTGCATAATAAAAAGAACTACAAAAAATTCTCATTAATTTTTATTATTGCTCATGTCGTTCTGGTTAAATATAATTTTATAATTTGAGTCAATATCGTTGTAGGTTTTTGTTTTACTACCGATTTGGATCAATTTTTGCATGGTATGAACAACTCAAAATATTTACGAGAAGTTGACTTTGCCAGACTCGATTTTTCGATTCGATTGGGATCAATGAGAGCTATTGCAGAAAATAAGGGTGCAGGTGCCGTAAAAAAGGCCACAATTGTCTACTGTCGATTTATTAAGTTATCAACTATATTCAAGATAAAAACTAAGGTAAATAAAAAACGTTGATAGCGCATCTATTTGGTCTAGTTTTCATAATTATATTGTTCATGTCACATGTTATCATACAAGAAACTCCTGATGCTGAAGCCTCAAAAAGAAAAGGTTTTATTAAGATGAAATAAAGTAATTTACGGAAATAGGCGTTTTACTAACATTTATAATGAATTTTTATGGAATATCTATAGATTTAATTTATCCAAACTGGGTAAACACAAGTATTGCATATTGGTCAGGTAAATCCTATGGAAAATTACCGTGTTTTTTAAATATTTACAGAAAAGGTGGGAGTTCATCATGTTGATATTTGGTATTCTATTATTTCATATTAGCCCATTACCTATTAGTATTTCGTAATTAAGTTAGGCAAAAAAATTGAATAATGTCTGTTATTTTTGTTACTCTTTTATTATCGGTAGCAGGATTGCCTGGAGGTTCTCAAATATCTCAAGTGACTGAAACAGGTATTTAAAAATTGATGAGAAATATTATACCTACCTATCTATACATATTTATATATTAAATTATACAGTCTTGGAAAGGCTTTATTTATATGGTACTATCTATCTACTTATACACACCTTGTATTCAAATTTACAAGATAATTGAAGGTACTCATTCCTGTTTTTATGTAATTGAGAGGATTTGCACTAATAAATTAAAGACTTACTTAATTTCAGCTTTTGTATTGGGACAACAAAAGCTTCTATTTGCAGTACAAATTTATAACGAAAGGAGGTTTAATCAATGCGTTTGTTATTCAAGAAGTGAAAATGATAAACTGCACCTGTGAAAGTATTTTGGAATCAATTTCACAACGGATTAAACAAACCGTTAAGAAACCCGAACCCCCTGAATTTTTGGTGAAATGGATAGAAGGAAATTCAAATTTACAAGACGATAAAAGTGCAAGCATTACAACTATTACCACAATGTAAAATTGAAAGTTTGCCAGTACTTTTTCACCTAAAATAAAGTTATAATATTTTAACAATATTATTGTATAAATAGACTATAAGAATGTGATGTTAATAAAGTACAACTGCGTTATTTATTTTATACCCTAAATGCCTAAATGTTACTTGAAATTCTAGCCAAAATCGATTTTGTAGGGCAATGAAAATAGCAGAGATAAGGTCAAGGTCAACAGAGAATCGAAGATTGTAAAAATATGAATTTACATATCTTCCATAAGACTAGCTGTTTAAATTAATTATTCATTAAGCCTAATAATTAACTATAAAACTTATATAACAAGTGTCAATATATGTTTAACGTAATAATTCTGTACAAAATTAAGATCATGTAATGACTAAATAGCTAAAATTAATCAGCAAGTACAAGTAATGCTTACTTTAGCTTTCATTTTCTAAAGTGAATACAAATACATACATACACACCTTGTAAATATTAAGAATACCTTGCATATAAACGATTTTATTTTTTATATTAATTGATTTTTATTTAAATCACGTTCAGCATCTTTTCAGCATACTTACAAACAAAATAACAAAATGAGAGGTGATACTTTCAAAAATTACATTCTAAAGTTTATAGATTGCAAAATAAAACAACTGAAAAAAAAGACGAGTGGCAGGTACCATTTTGTATGATTCAAGGCAAAGATCATTGTAATATCTAGGCAAATGTGGTATATGTTGAATATAAAGTAGTAAAAGTAAATGTATTTAGTTTTGTTATAAAACTAGCTAATAACAACCCCTTTCGTTGGGTTTACATTCTCATTTCTATTCCAAACGAATAGTTGGTAGTTAAGTTGCAAATTCACACGCAGAACATTCCTAAATATCCAAGAACATTCTAATTGAGGGTCACCCTATAAACATTTCACTTATTCTAAATCCACACTCTTTAAACTGGATAAATTTTCAACTTTATAGGAGATTTCAAACAGTTTTTGGAACACTTTAATGAAAAAATATATAAAATAGTTTAATTCAATGCTAGAAGCCACCCATCATCACTCATACATAATAGGTCTCGAATTGACTACTTAGTAGTGGGTTAAAAAATACGGTAATTATATTTAATTAACAAATGAGAACATATTCCCATACTAATTCAATTCATTTTAATTTTTTTGTGGTTAATTAATAACACATAAAAATTAAAAATCCATCCTAATCTTTGAACAGTAAAATGCATACAATCTATTTTTGATCTATCCATATTTACTGACGGTCAACCTTTATCATAATTTGATGATAATAAATTCTAGAATAAAATTTAAAAATTTATCTCAACGATCAATAAATAATTCAGTTGAAGATGTCCTTATTTGCTTGTTAATGAGTGTATCTGATACACGCAGCGAAAAGCGCAAAATCAAACTGATCGACTGATTTTCCGGTCCAGGATAACCCTGGTCGCGGCTCTGACGTCACATGACTACTTCCACTGGTAGTTTCAAAGGTGGACTTCTTTGCCGGAATAGACGGACTGTTTATAAATTCTTTCCGCGGTGATGATGAAACATCTTTGCGCTTACTTTTAATCATTCGTCAGCAAAAAATTATTATTGTTGGACTGTTGCAGTTTCCACAATTTATTTCTTTGTCTCACACGCTGCGCTGGCACAATTAAAATGTAGACAGTGACGTTCGCGAAGGAAAATTGCCGTAATACATTTATTACTCTAAATCGAAATTTTATTCAGTATGCGTCCAAGTACGTTGGAATAGTAAACGTTAAAATGGTCATTGTGTTTATGTTTCGCGTGATCTAAGCGCTAAATGGATATGTAGAGAGCATTTTCATTTTCCAAGTTTCAAATCTCGTTTTAATTGTTAAGCAACAAAACAAAAATTACAAATAAAACAAACGAAGAATGACAGTGTGCTACATAGTCGGGGCTTTTTTGGTCGCGGTTGTTGTGCTTTATGGACTTTTAGAACTGCATTATTTTTTGCGGACGTTCCTCAGCGTCCTTTTGGCGCGATTTTGTAAAAAGAAAGTTCATATTTTACAAGAAACTGTCGTCAAAGGTAAGAATTTTTCCATTTTCTATTTTATTTTTAGATTTTTTTTAAATCTTGTTCTTTTTCATTTGGTATAACACCAACGTTTCGCTTTTTATTTTCTTCACTTTCAACTAATTGAAAGTCTATTTTAATTCGTACAAAGTTTCTGTGTAAATTCTACAAAAAAGTAACAATTGTTGTTGTTGTGTGTTACTTAATAGTCAAATTGGATTCCCGATTTTAAACACAGTTAATCAGTTTAAAGTGTAATCAATTTAATTCGGTTCCTTTTAATGAAAATTATAAAACCGATCTCATCAGAAGCAGGTGTACATACATTTCAATAACAAAGTAAAGTGTTTTTGTTTTTACACAACTTTGTTTTCATTGTGTAATTTACATATAAAATGTATTTCCTACTTCTGTTTACGAAACTATACTTTAAACTATGTCGATGTTTTTATAGATTGACTTAAACGAAATCAAGCGGTAGTAGTTAAATTTGTGTTGAAAAAAAATCCCAAAAAAGGCTAAAGATTTCTTAATTTTCGACATCTCATTTTCATTAAAACTAT